GGTCTTGTTTTGATACCGCGGTACTAAGGTGCTTTGACGCGTTTCTTTCAGATCAACTTCGGATAAATGCGACAAATAATCTGCAGCGGGACTGCTGTAGTTCCTTGCTTAGAGGAAGCTCAGCTAGCGTAACCGACCTTACGTGCTTTACAAGAACCAGTACGAGTGTAGCGGGTCGCAATCCGCTACCTCCAAGATTACCTAAAAACCTTAATCAAGGTAAGACGCTCTTCCGTTTAAAATTGAATCCGTACCTAATTGACATAGCTGCAACAGAGCCGCGAATATGTAGAACCTTAAGTTTTCCTAATTGATATAGTAATACCTAATTAATATGCATGACTACTGGCAATCCTGCCGCGTAGTGGCCTATAGTTACGGTGTGGTCACACCAATGTGTGACTACGCCAAATTGTTCAATCACATCTATGTACGGTCAAACCCACAGTTAATTAATTCACTGCTGTATCGCGCCGACACGTTTACTGCTGTACAAAAGCACCCGGAAACTAATGCACTCTGTTTGAGCACAGTAACGCGCTATCAGTCAATTATACGTGCTAAGACGTCAACGGACGATATCCTTGACACTGATATTGTGCTCGGGATAATTCGTGCAGAGTGTCTTTTGGTGGCTTGCAATTTAAGCTCATGCAAAGGTGCAAACACTCAGTAAATTATGAGGACACCAATTACCGATAAGAAGAGAGGGGTGGTCCGGAGGAGTTTTTCGTGCCATACTTATTCAAGAGTAAACCCTTGATTTCTGCTGGAACGTTGACAAGATCACGTTATTTATACCAAGCGACTTGGCTGCAGTTACGACCCTAGAGAAGGCTAAGCTAAGTTCACCGACCTTACGTTCTTTCCAAGAACCAGTACTAGTGTAGCGGATCGCAACCCGCTACTTCTAGGAACTAAAGCTTTACCAATGTAAACGAACACTCCTATTCAAAAACGAAACTTGTTTTGCTTGCGGCAGAGCCGCCAGTGTCTAAAGCCCTAGGTTCTCCTAATTAATATAGAATTACCTAATTAACATATAGCAAAAAACACAGACACATCTATAGACGCTCGCACAATCTTGTGCGACCCAACCTTTATCACAATGGTGCGTGGAACCCCGTTACATCATGCTGTAGTACTTTTGAGCTTGGCCTAAAATCCAGGTGACAATAGTAAAAATGATACGTAAACCATAAGGTGGCTCATTTTCTCGATTCAACAAGACCAACGGGTTGACACCGAGTCTGCGATCGTACAATGACGCCTACTTTGTGGCGAACAAGGATGACAGGAAGTCCAAAACCGCGGCAGTCGGTCAAATGAATGACAGTTGCAGTATAAGCGCGACTGAGCTGGTATCTGTCGATGCTAAGCTATTGCAGCGAGGCTGCCGTAGCTATTTTGCTTAGAGGAAGCTTAGTTACGGTCGGCGACCTTCGTTCCATACTTAAACATAGTACGATTGTAGCGGATCGCAATCCGCTTAATCCAACAATAAGTACAACCTTAACTCTAGGCTGATTGGCTTTTTCTTTTGAAATGTAGACTGTATTTCTCGGTCTTAATGCGGCAAAGCCGCACATATTGAAATCGATAGGTATTCGTTGATGAAAAGGTCGCAGTGAGCACTAGATGGCAAAATGCAACGAAAAATATATCTCAAAGGTCCTTAGCTCGCAACTGCATAATACCTCTAAGCCGATGATTTATCTCAACCAATCACAAGCCGATACCACCCCGATGTTGATCATGACATAACGAATCCCATCCTGATAGTAGAAATATACTCAAGAATCATCTGAGTATCTTCTACCTTTTGGTATCGAATGACGATGTGCGTGGTTCGCTTGTGAAACTCCACGTTCTTCGCTAGTGCAATCGAGCCTTGATTATCCTCCAAAATCTTGACCGCAGTTTCCGAGAACATCTCGCTCAACTCACACAATAACACCTTCAGCCAAATTGCTCCTTGCGTAGCCTCTCATAATGCCATGTATTCAGCCTCCGTAGACGATAGTACTACAGTACGCTGCTTCTTGCTCTTCCGGCTGACACATCCACCGCTCATCATGGAAGAGTATCTAATTGTACTTCTTCGCAACATTAGGTCTCCGGCCCAATTTCTTGCAACCCATCATGATTTTCTGTTTGAAACGTGATGCCGTGTATCCTTCTGCCTTGGATTTATCTGAAGACTCTCTTCTAACGCTTGCCAGTGTGTTGGGCACGGGTCTGCTGCAAATTGGCTGAGTGCTTCAACTGCCGCAGCAAGGTCCGGACGCGTACCGAAAATGAAATACATCACGCAGCCAACAGCATTTCCATAAGACACACCAGTCATAGTCTCGCTGTTCTTGCATCCTCCTTCGCACATGAACTTGGTGAGCTTGAGTCTTGAATCTGTATGCGCTCTGACGCTTCTGTTTTCCATATGAAACTTGGTCAAAATCTCGCACGCAAATTTTGTTTGTCGCATCGGCAGGGTTCCGATCGTGAGGTCTTCCTCCACTTCAATTCCAAGAAAGAACTTAGCTGACCCAGATCCGTCATCTCAAATCGTTTGATGAGTACTTGCTTGGTTTCTCGAAGCATCTTGCTAGTAATGCTAGCATCGAATATCATGTCTTGACCATTCCGCTTCATGTACACACAGTGATCGGACTCACACCTTTTAAATTCCAATCCCAGCATGAAGTCATCATTGGTCTTGTTCCACATGCGAGTCGATTGCTTGAACCCGTAAATTGACCACTGTGACTTGCAAACATAGTCTGGATTGGTCATATACGTATAGCCATCATGTTGTGCCATGGAGATATCCTCATCAAGTGGCCGTTTAAGGACACTGTCTTCACGTCTATCTGATGGACCAATAATTCATACTTGGCAGCACGACTGAGCGAAATCCGGATCGATGCAAACTTGGCCACAGGTGCAAACATTTCTTTGAGGTGACCCAATTTCCAAATCGCATTCTTTCTTCCATTTAGCTGCGTCGTTGGATTCCATTACCGACTTGAAAGTAGTCGGCATTCCTCCCACTGAATCCACGACGTACGCAGCCTCAAAGACTTGAGCTGTGGCTGACATTTCTTCAAGTGATCGATATCGATTCTGTCGTTTAAACCCTGGTGCTTCAGTCGCGTTTTCAAGCGATTGGGCCCGTGGGTGTCGCTTGCTGCCAGGCTAAAATATTTATTCGCGCGCACATTCTTCAGTTTTATAGTCTGTCAGGTCATGTTGTAGGGGTCCTCATCAGTCTCTTCATTATCATCTTGAACAACGACTTCATTGTAGCGATGGTCGCGGCTAACAAGCTCTCGATTTCTTTAAATCGATACGCTTTCTTATGCTTCAAGTAGCCAAGAAATTGACAGCGTACCGAACGAGCATCAATCTTGCTGCGCTTTTCCTTGGGCACCGTAACAAATGCATGGCATCCAAAAACCTTTAAACTCGTCAGCACAAATTTTCGTTCAGTCCAAACTTGGTATGGCAATCTATCCATGTCAATGCCTCGCGTTGGACGTCATGAGAGCTAAACCCCAAGTAAAAAATTAAAGATATTTTAGATAGGGTTTATATATACGTCTTTGCCAGTCTAGCGTGCTCGAATACATCTTGCACATTCTACCAGAGTTTGGTTTATGCGTTCAGCCACTCCGTTAAGTTGCGGATTTTAAGGTGGCGTGAACTTTTGCAGCGATTTCACGCCGATTGCAGAGCTTGGCCACGTCACCTGACGCGCACTCGCTAGCATTATCGCAACGAGGTGCTTTGACAACTTTACCTGTTTAAGTTTCATCAAAAGCAACGAACTGGGAAATCCTTTGGCGACTTTAGACTTGTTCTGCAGCAAAAAAAACCGTGGTAAAGTGCGAGTACTTGCATATGATAGTGACAAAGTATCGCGTGCCGTTAAAAGTCGTTGACTGCATACATCACTGTGAAAAGCTTTTGACTATATCTATGCGTGATGGGGCGACATTGGCATAAAGCTCACTCGTGTTTGTTTGTTAAGTGCACAACCATCGCACAGCTCCCACTAATTGACCAAAGCAAAACCAATACCAATACCATAATTCTTTTTGACGATAGCGTCTAGACTGCTATGTCCAATGTGCCCAAAACGAAGGTGCCAGAGGTACGAAGTGGTGTTCACATGGCATCCTAACATATTAGTCACATTGCTTCGTCAGTGCTGACAGGCGTCATACACAACTTGAAAAGCCTTTGTCCTCGCGGACTCCAAGCTTCTACTGCATTCTTTTCGCCTTGACAAAACAGTTATCGCTTTCAAACGTGACTGGCCCAACATCCTTTGTGAAACGTCCAACGGAAAAAAGATTGCGCGAAAGCTCTGGAATATGCCATACTCCGCGAAGCATACCACATTTGATTCCATGGGCCATCTTCACCGGCATTATCATGTCTCTAATTCCGATTGCTTGAATACCACTGTTGTCTGCAAGATAAACGCCCACAGGAGAAATATCCTTGTAGTTCTTCGTAATATCTCTTTTGAAAATGTCATGGGCTGTGTCGCACCCGAGTCGACCAGTCATTCGCGACTTACCGAGAAGAGAAAATCACCAAAGTTGTCTTTGCTATGCCGGTCGTTGCCGATCTGCGTTCTCACGAATTCTCACGGGGAACTTGGCGATCCAATGCCCGTGCTCCCCACAAAATTGACACGTACTGCTAGCCTTAGCAGTCACTTGACGGTCCTTACGCCGTCCATTGTCCGTTGTCATAAACGCATGCCCTTGTCCGTGCACGGCTCCATCGACGCCGCAACCTTGTTCCTTGCGTCCCATGTCTCCATACAATTGCCGAGACGTCACGAGCTCTAACGTCAGCGAGTCAAAACGCCGTAATAAGGAACATGTACGACTCGCTTAAGGTCGTGAGTAGCGTGATGACCATATCGTCTTCGCTAGCTGGAGCACCCACTGCATCAAGTTGCTCTGCCAACGTCTTGATATTGTTTATATGCTGAAGCACGTCATCACCCTCGTCCTGAAGAAGTGGCAGTTGCGAATCCTCCATCGCGAGACAGATAATCGCCATAGCCTTGCGTGACTTTCGCTTATAGTTCGATTGGTTCAGTGGGTTCATCAAGTGCTCAGGCTTTACCTACCCGCTCACCATGGATCATAAGCCCCGTTCTTCCAGCACCATCTGCATCTTGAATTTTCATAGGTGGAAGTTCGCACCGTCAAGCTTGTTAATACGAGCGGTCGTAGTGTCCAAAGCAAGAGCGTAGTCAGTAGCGGGGGCATCAGAGTCAGTTGGTCTTTAGGTTTTACTGTATAGCTAGGAATATTGTCGAAGGTGCTATTGAAGAAACGCCTCGAGCAGCGACCATATATCGGTAAGTACCAGTACCTGCAATCAGTGGATAACTGGGTGATCGGTATCAGGATGGGAATCGTTATGTCATGATCAACCTTGAATTGGTGTCAGCTGTGATTAAATCATAGGCTTAGAGGTAGCATGCAGCTGTGAACTAAGGACTTTTGAATTATATTTTATTCTGCATTTTGCCAACTAGTACTCACTTCGACATCTGCATCAGGTTATGAGCCAATAGGTGTACACTACTGGCTGCTTCAGCCACGTACTGACTTGTTGTTTAAGTGTGGCCACACCATGTTGTGGTCAGACCAGATTGTGTAACCGATGAGGGTGTGATCATGTAACCCCCATTACAGATATACTCGTTTCTGATGGGTAACTAAGGACTGTAACTAAGTTGCCGCTGAAAATGCCGATGAGCATAATGGTGCAAACGTGCAAGTGCAGGATAAAATGAGCCCAGCAAAGGAGAAGCACGCGGACGACAATCTCCATACAAGTCTTTGCCGAGAAAAAGTCGTGCTACGTTTAGGTGCCACGCGGCCACGCGATATTGATCGCGGAATTTTCTGACACGGCGCCAGATGATGAATTTTTGAAAGAAAATTGGGCGTATCAACATAAAGGAAGCCAGGAACCTCGAAAGACTGGGGACGAGTCCCAAAAGCTAGCATTCCGCAGTATAATGCTATATCCCTGTGCGAAATGTCAGATCAAGAATAGCCGAGAATGCTGAAGATCAGATCTCTGTAGTTTGCAGATAAGATTCAGCAAGTGGCTATTCGATAATATCTCTCACCTTTCACATCTTTCCTAGCGCACAACTGGTTAACTAAAAACAAAATTGTCAGGCAAATGTACTCAAAACTTTTGTCTGTTACTACACGCGTAGATCTTATGTGACGGGGCACACGGCACCTTGCACAGAGAAAGCTTGACTTCCAAGAGTATACAAA